CCCCCAACTCCCACGTCCCTTCGTGTTGCATTCCCCGAATCCACCCCTCCTCCAAGACCAGGATACACTCAACCGAATCATGCCAGGTCACCAGCATTAACTTTTCTAACATCCGTTTCTCCTTGTGTGCAGTGCCATAGACTTTAACTTTAAAACATATAATCCCAGGTAGCCGGATACACTGTGGTAACCCACGCAGCCTGCTATAACAAAATAAACCAGACACGGTGGCTTCTCTACAGCAGGCATGTGTTTCTCACTGTTCCGGAGGATGGGGTCCAAATTCGAGGGACAACACGATCCAGTTCTTGTGAGGCCACCGTTCTAGGCTGCACATGGCTGTGTTCTCCCCGTGTCATCTCAGGGAGGAAGGGGCAAGGGAGCTCTGTGGGGCCCCTTCTATGGCCTATAAAGGCCATAATCAGCCCTTGTGACATACCCACACCTCAAGGCCCTGCCTCCTTAACGCCATCACGTTGGCCATTAGGGAGTCAACATGAGTTACGACGATACACAAACATTCAGACCATAGCATGTGCATATATCATACATACACTTAATTATTTAATAGTTTTCACAGTTGTTTTTTTTTTTTTTTTTTAAGTTTATTCAGTTTGAAGGACAAAGAGAAAGCATGCATGAGCAGGGGAGAGGCAGAGAGAGAGGGAGAGAGAGAGAGATTCCCAAGCAGGCCCTTCCCTGAAAACACATAGCCTGATGTGGGGCTCATACTCAGGAACCATGAGCTCATGACCTGAGCCGAACTCAAAGAGTCGGGAACTGAACTGACTGAGCCACTCAGGTGCCGCTCCTTAGTTTTCTTTTAAGGTCATAGTGATAGGCATTGAGGGTCTCACCTAAAATACAGCACTTGAGCCTGGATTTCAGTGATGAGTCGAATTTCCCAAAGTGGCCAGCCCGTGCAGAGGCACCGAGGCAGAGAAAACGAACACACTGGGGCTGACCTGGCACGTTCTGCAGATTCCTGGAGGTTTGGGGACATAGAGTGAATGGAACATGAACAAAATGGTCAGTGGGAAATTCTCTCAGAGAAACGAAGGGAGGATGGGCAGAGAAGGGTCTCGAGTCCTTAAAGGTAGCTGACATGCTGTAGAAATGACAGCATGCATTTGGCCTTTTCCACAGAAAAGAAAGTACATTCGATTTATGTGTTGTGTCTCTTTTCCTTTCTCCCCACTGAAATCTG